TGCTTGCAGCATGGAGGTTTTTCTGGAGGTTTTCCTTCAGCAGCCGTAAAAGCGTGCACTGAAGGTGGTTTCATGGAATATAAGGTAAAGGGTAGAGAAAAGGCTGGACAACTCCAACTACAGCTACCTCAGAGCCTAAGCGGCGTACCCGAGAGAGCCGCTTTACATACCTCTTAGGGAACCTTCCCTTTGGATTTGCTAGGCTGCTTGAGAGACTTCACTGGTTGGTAGTCGAGCTGCTTCTGTCGAAACTTACTCGATGGTGAGCATTTAAAGCCTTAGCAGACCATCTCACTTGCGAGAAACACTTGACGATCAATTAAATTGATCCGAACTACTGAGTGTCTGGCAGAACTCACTCAGTAGTGATGAAACTCAAAATCGAGTCGTACTCGTTTTTCTTTGCACCGTTTTAATGACAATATTGCAAATATTTTTTTCATTTTATTTTCTTTTCAACAATATAAACAAGGAGGGGGTCCTTTATGTTTATTTCAAAAACATTTTGCTTCCTCAATGTGCGAAGCAAAAAATTTTCTTCCTCTTAGAGGAAGCTATGAATTTCTCTACTTCAATTAATTGATTTAAGGCAACTTTAAAGGTAAAATAATTCATAACAAAGCAATAAATGCATTTAATAAGGGAAGGGCAAAGGCAGGTCTGATAATATTAGCTAATGTTTGTAAATATCAAGTAAATATGATGTTAAAATAATTGTTGGCCTGATTTACTCAAACTCAAACTCGGATATTGATTAATTGCTGAAAAAATTACATGATAAAATATTTGAGCTACACTTACAATTTCCAAATTACACTATCATATTAGGCGGAGACATTAATGGAAAAATAGGGGGTTTAAACCAATTTGAGGGAAATTTTATTTTTGATAATGTTAATATATTTAACAATAGATTGACTTCGGACTATACTGAAAATAGAAGAGGAATTAAATTAACAGAATTTTTCGAGAATGAGGCCTTCTTTGTACTAAATGGGAGAACTTGAAGTGATAACCCCGCCCAGTTTACTTACACTGAAAAAGGCAGGGCTTCTATTATTGACTTGGTATGGTGCGAGGGCCAGGTGAGCAATTTATCGAGGATTTTCAACAAATCCCAACCCGATCTGACCATTTTCCCATATGTGTATTCTTAACAGGTAAAAATAAGATCACTAGAGAAATTAATATAGAAACTCAATTGAAATGGAAAGAAGAAAATATAGAAAAATATAGGAATGAAATTAAATACCCGACAAACACGCGGAGTCCAATCACGGTTGACGAAATATCTAATAACTTAATTAACTCTATCAAAGAAGCAGCAAAACTCTCAGACATGATAATAACTTTAAAAACAAGAAAACATGTTTCAAAACCGTGGATTGACTCTGAGTGTAAGTTAGGTAAAAATAAACTTAAAAAACTTTTAAAAGAATGTAAAAAGGAAAAATTTAGCCCGCTCATTTTACAAAAATATAATCAATGTATAAATGAATACCAAAAATTAATTAATAAAAAAAGAAGATTATAAAATAATTATTACAGACAGGATAGCACTAACAAAAGATTCTAAACAATTCTGGAAATTGATTAACAATTTTAGGCTTAAAAGAACAGAACAGGAGGTAATAGATATAAATGAGTGGGAGAAATATTTCAAATCGATTCATTTAATCAAACCGCCCGACGAATTAAATCTAAAATTTAATGAAATGGGAAATAACTACTTGGACTCAAGCATAACATTAGAAGAAACCTTAATGAGTTTAAAAAAGTGCAAATACGGGAAAGCTACCGGTCCAGATCAAATTGGATACGAATTTTTAAAAAACCTGCCGGGAAATTTGATTTTATATTTGAATTCTCTATTTAATAAAATCCTAGAAACAGAAAAGTTACCTAATTCATGGGGTCAAACATTTGTGAGAATGATTTATAAAAAGGGAAAAATAGATGATCCTTCTAACTATAGACCTATATCCTTGATGAATTGTCTCACAAAGGTATTTACACAGATTCTTGCTAAAAGACTAGTGGACTGGGCGGAGGAAAATGAACTGATCCCGAAATGGCAGGCAGGGTTTAGGAGGGGAAGAAGCTGTGAAGATCATATTTTTACATTAAATGCATTAATTCAGTACAGATTGAGTTTACCTAAAAATAAAGCATTTGCAGTATTTGTTGACTTCAAAGGCGCCTTCCCCTCCGTGAATCACTCCATAATGTGGAGAAAATTGTATGCAAAAGGATGTGGCTCAAAACTTATTAGAATTTTGATGGATTTCTATGATAAAGCGTAAAGAATTTTCGAGGCACAACCAAAATTATAAAAATAACAAAGGGGGTACTGCAGGGAGATGTTCTTAGCCCGACACTATTCACTTTATTTATTGCAGATTTAGAGGAATACCATAAAAGTAAATGAATAAGAGGTTTAGCAATAGATCATAAAACTGAAATTTTAATTCTGGCATACTCAGATGACCCTGTCATCCTCTCGGACTCAATGATACATATGAGAAGTATACTTAAATACCTATATGAATATTGTAAAATTAATAAACTAGAAGTAAATCTTAAAAAAACAAAAATCATTGAGTTTAAGAGAGGCGGACATGGTCAAAAAAAAATAAAAAGAATAAAAGAATGTAGTTTTCGAATATGGAGGGGAACAAATAGAAAAGGTTAAAAATTATGTTTATTTGGGAATTCCATTTAGTAACTCGACTTTTTTTGCGAGTGCCAAGATGGAAATCTTAAAAAAAAGTAACTTAGCACTAAACTCAACATTATCAATAATATACAAATCACAGATAGACTCGATAATATCAATGAGTAGGATTTTTGATATCTTAACGTTAAATGTATTAATGTACTGCGTGCAAAACTGGGGACTGAGATATTTAGAGACAATTTAAAAAATTCAGACCACTTTTTATAAAAGAGCCCTCCAATTACCGAATAATACACCACATTACGTTGTGAGAATTGAAACGGGTGCTAAACACATTGCTATACAAATATTTAAAAAACTTTAAACTTTTTAGAAAAAATACTAAAAATTGGTCCTCACAGGTTAAATTTATGTTTCAGGAAATAGGGATAGGGGGGAATGGGAATCCCTGGACCTCATAATACTGCAAAAAAATAAATCATTATCGATAGAAAAATATAAGAACACATTACAGCAGAGAGATTATCAGGGAGCTCAGTTCTCCTCTTCCCTGTTGATATATTCATGTTTAAAACTCAATGATGGACCGCAAAAATATTTCATCAATGGACTAGAATTAGGTAACTTAAAAATAATAGCACAACTCCGTTTAATGAATAAATTTCAGCCAAGAATTATCTCGAAAAACTCAAAATGTGACTTAAAAACTAATAAATATTGTAAATTTTGTTACGAAGTAATTGAAGATGAGTTTTATGCATATCATGTAATAATAGAATGTAAAATACTTGATTCAGAGAGGAAAAATTATTTAAGCGCGTCCGAAAATGTTAACGAACTAAAGAAAATGTGGTTGGAACTACTAAATAACCCAAACAGGAACTCCGCAAAAAGAATTGTAACTTTTGTTAAAGAGATTATGAAAAAGAATGAAGGTATGGTTTGAATAGTTGAGAATTTTGTAAAGACTCTTTTGTATAGATTTTTAATCTTAAGCAAAAAAAATAATTAGATAAATATTTTACTAATTATTATACCAAATTTTCCTCGGACAAATAATAACAATTTGAAAGAAAATTTGGTATAATACTAATTCAAAGAAAACTATATATTTTATTACACTGAATTTTCCTCGGCCAAATAATGATATTCGAACGAAAATTCGGTATAATAAAAATTAATTATAATTTTATTGAATAAAAATTCTACTAAACCAATTTAAAACATTCCAATAAATTAATTATGTCAAAGAAAACTAAATATATTATTGAACAGAATTGTTATTTCTAAATAATATTAGTTGTATTAAATGATGGTAAAGTATAAATGATGGAGTAGTATAAGGAAACCGAACGACCATGTTAAATCTGCATTAAAAGTGGACCAAATTTTGGTATCCGCTTAGTGTCATGAAAATACGCAATGGAACACTAGCGCCACTGATTGTGTTAAACTCAGCTGGACAATCAGCCATTGTAAAAGTTTTAAAAATAAGGAGCAATGTATTTTTGGGTTATGTTAAACGTACTTCTAATTTTTCCCACTGTTTGCATACTTCTTACGAAAGCGCTTGCGTTCCATTACGTATTTTCATGACCCTAAGCGATTACCAAAATTTGGTCCACTTTCAATGTACGTCGTTCAGTCTCCTTATACTACTCCATGGTATAAATATTCAACATGACGGACTACAAATCAAAGTAAAGATAAATATTTCTGAATTCATTTTTTAATCATATTAAATTTTCGTATTAATATGCCATGTATCTTTACGCCAAAAATTATTTTCCAAAAATAGTTCCATTTTTTCGATTTAAAACTAATGGGATATTATTTCTAACACCCTAAAGGACCATTTAAGCAAAAAAATTCGATTTTTTGAAAGTGATTGGGGGATGTTACCCCTCAATGTATAAAACATTAATTTAATGTTAAATTATCATTTTGTTGTGAAATAATAACCTCAATATTGGTAAAACGATTGCGGCGCGTTTTACACGATAGATGACAGTTTAACAGTTTTCCTTGTTCTCTAATTTGAAAATTAAGAATAAAATAATACATATATTATTACTTTTGAAATATATTTTAATCATTTAAGAGAATGTATATTTTACAATAAAAAAATCATATACAAACACTTAGTGTAACTAATATGTATCACTTGATGTTGCTTAAAAATTATAATTCTTATTTTCAAACTAATATTTTACTATTGTTAACAAATATGACTAATCGAAAATTTTATTTGATTTTAATAAACTTTCACAACAATTTTTTAAAGTTGAGATAAAGTAAGTTGTTACAAAAATGTGTAAAACAATAACATTGAAATATGATGAAATCATATTGTGGCGATAATTTCCTTATATGGATCTAACAGTAGTCCTCAATTTTTCTTTTTTATATTAATGTAAGTGTCTTTGTAAAAACGATAAAACAAACAAAAATTAAAAATAATATTCACAAACATTGTATATATCAAAAATTTTGGCAACTTATCACAGCCTGGTATCATGATAACTAAGATTTGTACAAGTACAATGACAAATTGTCCCTGAAACAATAAGATTATTAATCCAGATTTACAAATTTTTTCTTTCAAATTAACGAAAAGTACACTTCAATATAATTCAATAAGTTTACAAAATATATATGTACATAAATAATTTTATATTTTTATATTAGAAATAATAAAAAATCACTTAACGAATTATTTTTAAATACCACATTCCAAGACGAGTGAAACCTTTTTTTTGTCTTTAAATTTCATACTAAATTTCAAAAAAATTTTGTTATTTAAGACAACTAAAATTTTTAATTCTTTATAACTTTAAAAAAAAATTTTTTACTGTAATATTTTTAGAAATTTATTTTGATTACAGCCCTGGTAAAAATTCCGGATTGTTTTTGGAATTAGTCTGGAACAGTCCATTTTAATTTAATTAATTATTATTTTAATTATTATTGTAGTTAGGACAATATCGGTATATGTGTAGAATAAGCCATAAAAATTTTAGCTTAAACAGTGTAATAGATTTTTTTAGGATGTTCGCTAGGTCAAAAAACTTTGTTTTGAGAAAAAGCGAATATACGAAAAAATGTCTTTTTTTGAGAAAAAACCCCTTACGCGTCAGGATACATTATATATAATATAGATACCGAAGATTCCAACCAAAATCATAGTTCCTATAGCATTTCTACATATGAAGAGCTCCACGGAATAACGATCTATGGCACAATTGAAAAGTTTGGTTATGAGCTTTCAAAAAACGTAAATTTTCATGAAATTGGTATTAAGTATATGTAAACTGTTATTTATTACACGCTTAATAACTGTTACTAATTCTATTAATAATAATAATAATTAGCTTACAGTTGTTATCAATTTAATGAAAATTTACGTTTTTTGAAAGCTCATAACCAAACTTTTCAATTGTGCCATAGATCGTTATTCCCTGGAGCTCTTCATATATCTGCTAAAAGAATCTGCAGTTTTTAGAAAATCGATTTTTTTGAAAAAAAGATTTGGTGTACAAATTACGTAATGCCAATTTTTAATAATTTAAACCCCCCCTCCCCATGTAAGGTTAAGTAAGATTTTCTTAATCCTGACCCCCTCTACTTAAGTAAGGTTTAAGGGGTTACGCCACCCTGAACGCCTGAAAATTGGACGGTATTTCAAAAATAAATTTTAACAAAATTATTAAAAATACAACTTTTTAATAATTATAGTTCAAAAATACAACTTTTTAATAAAATTCTCTATAAATATTGTGCTAAATTTACATGAAGCACTACTGCTCTTTTCTCTAGACACTATGTGATGTAAAAATCGTTTTTGATGCTATAGAAATTCTTTCATGAAAACGAGTATTATTTACATAAATTTACTTGTTGCGGTAAAGGAAAATAATATATACTTATTCCGTCCAAACGAGGTTGAGTTGATGTTTAAATGTCCGCGCATAATAAAGGTCAGTCACAGAGGTTGGCTGAATATTGGATTTGAATTTCTGTTAAATATTAAAATTAAAGATTCTTGGTATAGTGTGAGGGCATATTTAAGGAAATTAAAAATTCAAGATTTGTTAAATGTAATCGTTAAATATTCTGGAAATTTAGAAGGAGCATAAATACGGAAAAATAAAAAGAAAGCAAATGAATTTAAAAACCCAATGGGAAAAATTAATAATTAAATTAAAATAAAAAAATGGTCATCAAAGTGTTAGTGAAACCATTTCTTCCAAAAAAGAATTTGTCTCAAATCCAATAAATAGGAGAGACATCGGGCAGAAAAAAAAATTTCGACAAGAAAAAAATTTTCGATCACTGCTTATATACCAATCTAATGGCACCTCAACTGCGAGAAACAGTTATGATGTTCGCCCTCCCTGTAACGTTGAACGAACTAAAGTCCAGAGCTGAGCCATCAGCGCAGCGCGGGAACATTTGAAAAATTTAATTTTATTTTATTTTAAATATGACAAATAATTAATGTCATAAATAATTATTAATAACATAATGTCATACTTAATAATTCGTTAATTAATTATTTTTAACGAAAACTTGACAAAAGAAAATTTTTTTTTCTGCCCGATGTCTCTCCTATTTATTGGATTTGAGACAAATTCTTTTTTGGAAGAAATGGTTTCACTAATACTTTGATGACCATTTTCTTATTGTAATTTAATTATTAATTTTTCCCATTGGGTTTTTAAATTTCATTTGCTTTCTTTTTATTTTTTCGTATTTATGCTCCTTCTAAATTTCCAGAATATTTAACGATTACACTACCGTCTGAAATTGTGCGAACTCTGCTTTTTCAACAACTATAAAACTGTTCAAATCTTCAAAAATATTAAAACTAAAATTTTTTCCTCTTTATTTTATTAAAGTTAATAAAATTCTGAAAGAAATGACACCTTGACAAAGAGAATATGTTAATTTTTCAATTAGATATCTAAGAAAACCCCAATTTTCAATGTTTTTACTATTTTTTTTATTTCTCTGGCAAAAATTAATATTTTTAAACGTTCTTAGGCTCATTGAAATCGTATTTTGTTATGCAATTCAAATAATATAAAACTTTTGATGTACACATTCTTCCCTAGCGTATACAAACCGTGAAAATTGGCTCATAAAATGTCAAAAAATTTAAATTTAATTCTACAATAAAATATAATGTTTAAAAATCAAGTAAATATATCATTCTAAACTTCTCTGATTTATGTAAGTAAATTTAAGATTTATACATTTTACTGATCATTTTTTGTCATATAAATATTAATCACAATTTTTTGACATTTTATGAGCCGACTTTCACGGTTTGCATACGCTCGGGAAGAATATGTACATGAATTGTTTTATATAATTTGAATTGCATAACAAAATACGATTTCAATGAGCCTAAGACCGTTTAAAAATATTAATTTTTGCCAGAGAAATAAAAAAATAGTAGAAACATTGAAAATTGGGTTTTTCTTAGATATCTAATTGAAAAATTAACATATTCTCTTTGTCAAGGTGTCATTTCTTTCAGAATTTTATTAACTTTAATAAAATAAAGAGGAAAAAATTTTAGTTTTAATATTTTTGAAGATTTGAACAGTTTTATAGTTGTTGAAAAAGCAGAGTTCGCACAATTTCGGACGGTAGTGTACATTTAACAAATCTTGAATTTTTAATTTCCTTAAATATCCCCTCACAATATGCAAAGAATCTTTAATTTTAATATTTAACAGAAATTCAAATCCAATATTCAGCCAACCTCTGTGCCAACCTCGCGACTCAAGTTCCCGAACCTCGTCAAGCGAGGTTCAGTCAAGGTTCATGGAAGTTTTGGTGCTGTCCGGGTACTAGAAACATTTTAAACTAATGAAAGAAATCCTCTCCACCACCATATGTAAAATTCTTACAAATGGGACTGGGACCCGTGATGCATGCGCATTAAATGCAGCAAGTAAACGCTGAACATCAGTAAAATCGCATCTCGTGTATTGTGATAATTTCCAAAAAGTGAAATTAAAAAAAATGTCTTTCTTAATTAATTTAATAATTTCTTAATTTATTGTATATTTGCTGATTCTGTAGATAACATATTTTATTTTATGTGTTAGATGTGCTCTTATTATGTTTTTTTAAATAACAAGCATGGTTTAAAGTTTAAGGTTATGTTTGAAACATTATTTATGTTCTTTCACCGAATTCATTGTCTTTCAAATACAACTAAAAGTTTTTTCTCAGTAATGATGAATGAATATAACTGAAATCGCTAAATAAATGTAAAAAGTTTTTTTCAATATAAATTAAAAGTTCAACTCTACATAAGTTAAATTTAAAAATAATAATACGTTCAACTCTATACAGTTTATTTTTAAACAGATTATTTCCATACATAAAAAATTTTTATATTTGTTTAATTGAATGCGGTTCAATTCTACACAAGCATTTAAAAAAAATAAAACGTTTAACTCTCCACAGTTTAATTCAACACGAGTTAATTATTATTTTTAATTAACTCGTGTTGAATTGAACTGTGCAGAGTTAAAAGTTTTATTTTTTTTAAATGCTTGTGTAGAACTGAACCGCATTCAATTAAACAAATATAAAAATTTTTTATGTATCGAAATAATCTGTTTAAAAATAAACTGTATAGAGTTGAACGTATTATTATTTTTAATTAACTCGTGTTGAATTGAACTGTGAAGAATTTAACGTTTTATTTTTTTTAAATGCTTGTATAGAACTGAACCGTATTCAATTGAACAAATATAAAAATTGTTTATGTTTCGAAATTATCTGTTTAAAATTAAACTGTATAGAGTTGAACGTTTTAATATTTTTAAAATTAACTCGTGTAGAATTGAACTGTGCACAAATTAGCAGTATTTAATTAAACTGTGCACAACTAAACACTCATCATTTTAAAAAATGTTTGCGCAGAACTGAACCGTATTCAATTAAACAAATATAAAAAATTTTTATCTATCAAAAGCATCTGTGTACAATTAAACTGTATAGAGTTGAACCTTTTATTATTTTTGAAATTCACTTGTGTAGAGTTGAACGGTGCACAATTTAGCCATATCCATTTAAACTGTATCGAAATAAACATTAAAAAAATTTAATCTCACTGTAGAGTTGAAATGTGCTAAGTTTAACGTATCGAGTTGCCCCGTATAGAACTAAATTTGGTAGAACTGATACCGCGCCGTTTCGAAGCATTATCGATATAGATTACAAGCAATTATGGTGCAATTCTACATTACAAGAAAGAATATCTTTCTACCAGAAGAACGATTGTCGAACAATTTTCAACACATTTTGTAATCTTAAACATATTGTAGGATATTATTTAGTAGGCATATGCATTTACATGTATTTTTATTTATAATAAAGGTTGAGAACTACTTAATATTAAACATATTAAATTCTAGGTTAAAGTGGATTTTGAAAAACTTTTCAATAAATAGTGCAACATTTTTGCAGAAAATTGGCCTTCAATCGGGGGTAAAATTATTAAAATAGCAAAGAAGAAAAAATATACAGATGAAC